CTAATCCCTCCTCCGCTCTACCCCACCCTATGGGGATAAGTGAGCACTCCAGCTCAGCCACCTTTTATCCACTGTCCATGACTGACAAGAGGGGGAAATTCATAATCACTCTTAGCTTCTCAGAATGCATTAGTCCTAGTTAATTGTATCTAGACAGTGTCTAGCAAAAAATGCTGGCCTAATTCTCCAATGTCTGTAAAGTATTGGCATCCTAGGAGAAGAAAACTGAAACTGCACCATTAACCCTGCAGGGGCATTGGCAGTAAGTTACTTGGGGTCCCCATGGCAGCAGCATGCTTACCGGGACGGCTGGAGGACAGGCTTTGGAGCACCAGAGCAAAGATATTGATTTTCTGTTCCACTGAGGAAGATGTTTAATTGTATTTTCAGAAACCTTTGGGAGAAAAAGAGGAAAGAAAAACAGTCTCTCTTATTACTCTCTCCACTTGTAAGCAGTAAATTTAAAATAAACCTTTTTAGACCCTGGCTGGTGTACTCAGTGGTTAGGGTCTCCAGTTTAATTTGGGGTTAAGGGCATATACATGGGTTGTGGGTTCACTCCCCACTTCTCCCTCCCTGTGGGAGGCAATCAATCGATGTGTCTCTCTGGCATTGACATTTCTCCTTTCCACCTCTCTCTCTCCCACACTCCTTCCCTTCCACTCTCTCTCTGAAAAGCAATGGAAAAAGTATCCTCTGGTGAGGATTAACAAACAAAAAAACAAACAAATAAATAAATAAACCTTTCTTTATGAAAAATATCAAGTACATACAAAGTTTGAGAGAATAATATATTGATTCTCTGAGTACTCATTACCCAATTCAATAATTATCAACTAATAGCAAACTATATATATTTTAAAAATATATTTTTATTGATTTTGGAGAGGAAGGGAGAGAGTTAGAAACATCAATGAAGAGAGAGAATCATTGATAGGCTGCATCTGCATGCCCCCCTCACAGGGGATAGAGCCCACAATCTGGGCATGTGCCCTGACTGGGAATTGACCATGACCTCCTGGTTCATAGGTCGACATTCAACCACTGAGCCATATTGGTTGAATTTAATTTTTGGCCAATTTTGGCCAATTTTATTTTTTCTATTTGTTTAACTATATTTTTTTTTCTGGAGCATTTTAAACATATTCCAGGCATCAATATGTGTTGAGCACTTACTACATGTCAGACACTGTTCTAAATGTTTGAAATACAGCAATGAGAAAGTATATAAACAAAAATCCCTGTCCACAAAAATCTCACAGTCTAGTTGGAAAGAAAGATAAAAATAAAATCAATAAATGAATGAGATGGTATGTTAGGTGATAAGTATAATGGAGGAATAGAAGACAGGGGAGAGGAGGGATAGTGCAGAGATTACAACTTGAAATAAGGAGGTTAGGGGATGAGCACTGAACTCTGGATGCACTGCTCAGATCTCACTTCAGGATCGAAGGACTTAATCCCCCAGCTGCTGAAAAGAACCACTGCACCCAAGGTTATGACTCCTTCCTAGGAAAGTCTGGGAATGATTGATCTATGCAAGAGTGTAAGTGCCTACACCTCGAGTGGCTCCAATTCAGGACAGATTGGCTAAAGCTTCCATTGAAATTAGGTTGCAGCTTAACTTCCCCCTCTGCCAAATCCTGCATCTATCCCAGTCTTTCCCTTCCATACTTGTTGGTTCAAGAGCATATCCTAATAAACTCCCTATATGTTCATCCCCGTTTCAGGCTTTGCTTTTCAGACCCTCTGACAGTTGGCCTTCCTAAGAACATGGCTTCTTAGCAAAGATATGTTTGTAAAGGACTGGGTCCTGATAATAAGGCATTCCGGTGGAGAATCACACCGGCAGAGTGGCTAAGAGTTCTTTCAGGAGCTGGCAGCTCCTGGTTACTGCAAGACTTCGTGATCCTCCAATGTGGCACAGCCATAATCTCTGCATTTGAAGACTGAAGGTAGGCAGGCAACCTTCTGTCATTTCACTGTGTGTAAATGGATTTCCAGGTAAGAAGGGCTGTAACAACCGCTGAGAAATGAAAGATGAGTAAGACAAGGCCCTATCCCTGGAGGAGTTTACAGTTTAGTGGGATAGCCAGATATGTAAACAGATAATTACAGTGAGAGGTACAATTTTATAGATATATGTATAAAATATTTCCTTAGGAAAAAAAACATGCGCCAAAAGGACATATACCAAAAGTTAGCAGTGATTATCAGAAGATGTTTTCCCTTTTTGTTTATCTGTATTTTCAGAATTTTTCCTTGAATATATATTTATTATTTTTGAAGTAAGAAGAAAAGAAGCATGTACAAAAAGCAGCACCATGGGATGCATGCTGTATCGGAAGTGTGCACAGTATTCTGAGGAAGCAAAGAATGTCTGGGGAAGTCAAAGAAAACCTGGCAACCTCTACCTTTCCAGTCTCACACTTAAATGTGTCTTTCACCTTCCAACCCAAGCAATGCATGGCCTTCTTTGGATCCTGGTCCAAGCAAAACAACTGTAAAAATATTTATAAGGCAAGTGGAAAATTTGTACTCTGCCTGGATATTTGATGATACTTAGGTAGTATTGTTATTATGAGGTATGATAATGGTATTACAATAATGTTGGGGGGGGGGAATCCTTATCTTTTAGATAAACATCCTGATACATTTGTGGATGAAATGACATGAAATCTGGGATTCTTATGAGTAAATAATCCATTGGGGGTGCAAAGTGATTGAAAATAAAAAAGAAAAGTCATAAGTTAATGACTATTGAAGTTGGGAAATGAATGCATGGGAGTACATTCCAATATTTTCTCTACTTTTGCCTTTGAAATTTTTATAATAAAATATACAACAATAATTAATATAACAATAGTATCTATAATAAATAAAAAATCCTTCAAATATATCTTCAAGTCTCACTCAAAAGGCATTTTCACTCATGAATGAGCAAGCAACAATCAATCCATGTACCTGTTGAAGCCTATGCAACCAGCACTCAGCTCACTGGGCATTGCAAGTTGTCTGTCTTATAATCATCTGATCTGTGCCAATGACACTTGTCTTACAATTTCAACATATGTCTTTTATATTATTTAACCATTATAGTGTGTTTACACACAATAATCAAATATTTTAATCTTTATATTATTAAGAAAAGTGGCATCTTTTCTTTGAAACCTTTCTTTTTTAACTTAATTTTTAAAAAATATTTTTATTGATTTCAGAGAGAAAAGGAGAGGGAGAAAGAGATAGAAACATCAATGATGAGAGACAATTATCAATTGGCTGCCTCCTGCACACCCCACACTAAGGATTGAGCCTGCAACCTGGACATGTGCTCGGACCAGGAATCAAACCATATCCTCTTGGTTCATAGGTCAATGTTCAACCACTAATCTATGCCAGCCAGGCTACCTTAATTTTTTATTATGAAAAAATTTAAGTATTTACAAAAATAGAGAGAAGATTATAAAAAAAAAATCCTCTATTACTAATCACCCAGATTCAGTAATTATCAATGTTTTGAAATACTTGTCATGTTTGTTTTTTGAAAAAGTAGAATTGTGTTAATGAAAATCTTATACTGTTTTTCATTTCACTCAAAAGCTCTAAAAATATCAATATTATCTTACATTGTGAGGTAAACAGCGCCTGCCATCTCTGTTTTAAAGAAGAGGATACAGGAAATTTACTCTTAACTCAGCTGGGATTATAAGTTGTGATTTAAAGTTTTTAAATGCAGTATACTGGGATAATAATGCTATGTTATCCCAGCCAGGAAACAAATATTTGTTTTAAAGTAACTGTTAGATTAAAAGTACTCTTTAGTTTCTTAAAGGAAATATTGAATGACTTCCAAACTCAAAAACCCCCAGAAGGAGGGGAATGTGTTTGTCAGCTTGTTTGTTTGTTTGTTTTAGGTACTTGGATGACTAGCTTGCTCCTTGAAAAGCCGGGGTACAGAAATAAAAGGCCTGATTGTGCTGAATCCTTCTCTTCTGTCATTATTCAGGCTGGTTCCCAGCATGCTGCAGTCCAAAGGAAAGGGTCCAAGCACTATTTAAAAATCAGAGACTAAAGAGCTTACTCAGCACTCTGCTCACATTAGTATTGCTTGCTTTCATCTTTAAAAGTCTTTTATTAAACAGTAACCTCAGTTGCTGGGAATATCCTCAGAATATAGGAAGCACCTGCTTGACCTAATTATGAAGAAAAATGCTTTTCATCACTATCCCTTCTCTTCAAAGCGCCCTGGAACAATCAGATTTTAAAGCATAATTGAGTGTTGGGGAAGAATTTTACAGAAGTGCAGCTTTTTGGTGGTGGTGATGGTGGTAGGGGTGGTGAAGGGGCAGCTGTCCCTTTTGGTGAAAATGGGAAATTTTAGAATAAAACCGACCCTTGCTGTTCACTTACCCAGGACTGATGAAGACATTCGCTCTTAGGGTAAGAGTCATTTTTTTTTTTTAAGTTCTGTTTCATCATCTAGGAGTGAGAGTGTGTTGCAGCAATCTCTTTGAAAGAATGCTTCTTGAATTTCCCAATTAAAAAGACTCCATAGAGCTGAGACAAAAAGAGCACCCAGGGATGCTTGATATGTCATCCAAATCACGAAAGGCAGGGCTTTTCTAAGGATTGTATCTACCTTTTAACACAATGTGGAAAGGGGGGGGGGGGGGGGAGAGAGATTCTGGTGCAGATGTCCCAGAATGATCCCAAAGGAGAACCCTTCACTCAGATTCTCTAGCTTTTCTTGACAGGTGCACACGGGCAGAGAATGTTTTTGGTCCTCGAGGCAGTGTTTACTCGGGGAATTACGACGATGGTGTCCAAGCGTAGGGCAATCGAGGTGACCCTGAGCACAGGAGCAGCCCTCGGACTGCGGCACAGAAAATACGCTAGCGGATCTGTCACCCTTCCCCCTCTCCTTTCCCAGGGGATTGGAGTAGCGTTGGAGTCGCTGACGCCATCCTTTCCCGCCTCTGGCTTGCAGGGAGCATGCGCTTCCTTCCACACTGGGTCTCAAGGAGAGTAAGCCTACGCCCTAGCGTCTCCGCGGCGGGCTCCGCGTCACAGGAACTTCAGCACCCACGGGGCGGACAGCGCTCTCCTCCACCTGAAGACAAGACTCCCAGCGCCCAGAACCCTTTCTAGTCTCTTTAACTCGCTAGCGGCGTCAAGCCCCTCCCCGGGCTGGGTTCCCATCACTCTTCGACTCCCTGCACCCGCCTTCCTAGCTCTTCCTGTTTTTTACTCTTCTTTTTCATTCATAACAAAAGACACCGCTCCGGGAGCCCGGCGCCAGGCTGTTTCCGAGCCAAGAGTGGAAGAATGGGGTTCCTTTGGACCGGCGCTTGGATTCTGGTGTTAGTGGTCCACAGCAGCCCAATTCAAGCTTTCCCCACACCGGAAGGCAGCCAAGGTACGTGGACACTTTCCTTCCCACTTCCCTTTATTCGCCGCGAAAACGTAAAGCGTGGAATAATAACACATGAGCTGCAAATTTTACCTTGCCTCATTTTCTGATCAGATCGTATCTATGCATATTGACAGAGAAAATCCGTTCGAATTTAGAAAGAGAGTCCCCCTTCACTTTTTATGTAATAAAGCAATTACCTGGATTGTTTTTGAAAGATTTTATTTTGCGATTGGGAGAGGGGGGCTTTTCTGCCTAATAAAGTGGCTTGGGTTGTTAGGTTTTGTTTTGTTTTCTAGTTGTCTTACCATCTTTCTCAGACACTCGATTCAGAACAAGGTTGGGGGAGAGGGAGTTTTTAATGTGCTAATAATGCCAATATAAATTATGCTCTATCTAATTGAAAACAGCTGGTAAGCCAATTGTTAGAACTATATGTTAGTTTCTGGTAAAAAACAAAAACAAAACAAAAAACAGAAGAAAAAAAAACAAGTATAATTCTATTAACTCAGGAAACACAGAAGATAATAAGCAAAGCAACATGATGGTCATTGTTATTGTATAATCTTGATTATCTTTGTTAACATATATTTCTGTTTCATGGTTATTCAAAATATGTCTCCTAATAGTTTTTTCTTTATGAAGATTTTATTTTAAAGAGACATATTGTGTCTGTCCAAAACACAATAAAACTTATATATTTGTGTTTATTCTAGACAAACCTGTACACAATAAAGAATTAAGTGCAGAAAGACCTTTAAATGAACAGGTAGGTCAAAAAAAATTCTATTTCAATTTATTTTAGTTATTATAATTTAATGTAATTATGTTTTGACATTTTAGCCATTTTGAATTTACAAACTTCCGAGGATTATTAATAAGTTGACATAAACTAGGATGGGCATTATAATTTTGGTAATATCTATATAAAACATAGAGTTGACTATATAATAATCCATTAAGGTCCACTCTATTGTAAGATTGCTTAATTTACCAGAGATTTACTTTTCGTCAATAATGTAGGAGAAGGGGATTAATACCTATAGACCATCAGCCTTTTTATCTCACCTACTCCTTATGATGATGCTTTGAAATTATCTACATTTTACAAACAAGAAAACTAAATCATATGGAGATTAATTATTTAGCTGTCATAATTATGAGGTGGAGCAATGATTTAAACCAGGTCTATATCCTCTTTGTTTCATAGATTGCTGAAGCAGAAGCAGACAAGATTAAAAACATATACTCTCCAGGTAAAAAGAAACTGTTTCGATGTTAATTTAAGTGATGTAGGCTCTGAGAATTGTAAATTAAATAGATATTTTGGGTTTGGGGCTTTTCTTTCAGAAAACAAGCCAGGTGAAAGCAATTATTCCTTTGTTGATAACTTGAACCTGCTAAAGGCAATAACAGAAAAGGAAAAAAATGAGAAAGAAAGACAATCTGTAAGAAACTCTCCATATGATAATAAATTGAACATGGAAGATGTTGATTCAACCAAAAATCGAAGATTAATTGATGATTATGATTCTACTAAGAGTGGCCTGAATCATAAAATTCAAGGTAAATGGGTGGTGGTGGGGAATGTTGATACCTATGTTCTCTAATTTGAACTCATTGTGGGTTAGGAGAAAGTCATATTCATATATATATATTTTTTTTAATATCTCATATTCTCACAATCCTCTATTAATCAGGTCCAAACTTGAGGTAAAGCTCAAATTTACTGGCAATGTACAAAGCCCTAGCTCCACAGAAGCCCAAATTTTATTTGTTCTTTAAAGGTCCCTTTACTGCTACTTTGAAAATATTTAAATCTACTGTCTATGTTTTATGCTATTTAATATTTAGCCTTTAATATTTTCACTATTAGTACCAACAAAATATCATAATTATCAAATAATTAAATCAACAATATCTCTTTCCCAATGGTGAAATACCCGTTACTCCCTTTGCAGGGTTCTCTTTCTAGCCATAGCCTTTCTCTCTAGGTCATTCTAACCTTTTCATGGCTTCTCCTTCAGTTACTGTCTAAATCCTGATGTCACATATCACTAGCCTAGACTTTTCTGAGCTATAGATACATACATACATACATACATACATTATAATACATATATATGTATATATCTGTATATAAATGTGTATAACTACCTACTTAATATTTTGCTTTAGAAGTCTCAGAAGCACCTCGAACTTAGCATGGCCAAGGTTAATCTCGTAATATCTGTACACCTTACAACCTAGCCCTCTTTGAGTGCTCTTTCTCTACGAAACACACTACTTCCCATGCAATTTTTTCAAGACAGAAATCCAGAAATCAAACTACTTCTCTTTTTCCTGGCCCCTCAAATTGGTTGAGGGCACATCCCCGGTGGGGGGTGTGCAAGAGGCAGCTGGTCGATGTTTCTCTCTCATCAACGTTTCTATCTCTCTATCTCTCTCCCTTCCTCTTTGTAAAAAAATCAATAAAATATATTTAAAAAAAAAAAAAGAAAAGAAAGAAAGAAAAGAAAAGGATACATGAGAGAAAAAATGAACTACATATCTAGGCATTGAAGAAGAGAGTGTGTTTTCATCCTGAATACTATTGCTTAGAAATGACTGCAGATTGTCTTATATGTTCTTGCTCTGCTCCATGGCACAAGTGGATTATGCTGATTATTTCTGCCAGAAAACAACTGCCAACTTTTATAAGATATCACAGTCTGAGGAGATTTCAGATATACTATGTTGTGCATGTAATAAGGTGGGACAGATGGTTTATATTTTGACACAGTTTATATTGCATACTACTCCCAGAATTTTTTTTCTTGAATTCTACATTTTAACCTAAAATATGTTGGCTAGAAATAGAAACTGGGCATTGCTGGATACAAAAGAGATTAAACTACTTTGATCTGACATTTGATTTAATGAAATTTCAAAACAGTCTAATGTTAGAATTTTTTTGGTCAAACCAATTTTGAATCTGTTTGTGATCTGATCACTATCTTGAGCAACTTATTTTTAAATTATTCGACATTTTATTACCATCCCAGATGGGTCCCAAATACCAAGTGTCAGTCCTAATGGCTCTAGGTTTCCCTTAGGAGTCATTTTAAATGGACTTACAATTACAGATAAGATTCTTGGAGAGAAATGATTTATGAGTGAATTTCTGGTCTCCTCTCATACCCTGAAAATCCTGGAAACAGATTTGATAGCACCAAAGCGACTAGAACTCAGAGGCGTGCAGACTTACACCCCAGAATGGAGGGGGGACCTAACTTTTGTAGGGTAATTTCACATCTTTAGGAAACCTCGAAATGGGTTGTAATATAGGGCCTATCAATTCTCCTTTTCAGTGTGCTCTGCACCATGTGTGATTTAGGAAATTTTTTCATAAAAGTTTCTTTTATGAAGTAGTGCTTCCAGGCTCCTGTGAGCATTCACCAGACAAATGTTCATTGTGCAATTACTCTGTATCAGACTGTGAACTAGACCAGCAATTTTCAACCTTTTCCACCTCCTGGCACACATAAACTAATTACTAACATTCTGCAGCAGACCAAAAAAAAATTTTTTTTTTTGCTCATCTGAAATATAGGTAGTTTTAATTCATTCACAATGGCTATTGTTGTATTGTCATTTTTTTCTTTATTTAAAAATAAATCTTTTATATTTCAGATTATTACAATTGTTCCTCTCCCCCCACCCCCAATAGCTCCCCTACACCTGGTTTCCACCCCACCCCATGCCCTTACCCCACTGTCCTCTTCCATAGGTGTAAGATTTTTGTCCAATCTCTTCCCGCACCCCCCATATCCCCTTTCCCCTGAGAATTGTCAGTCCACTCCCTTTCTATGACCCTGATTCTATTATATCCACCAGTTTATTCTATCCATCAGCTTTTTTATTCACTTGATTTTTAGATTCACTTGATAGATATTTATTTGTTGTCACTCTGTTGTTCATAATTTTTATCTTTACCTTTTTCTTCTTCCTCCTCTTCTTAAAGAATACCCTTCAGCATTTCCTATAATACTGGTTTGGTGATAATGAACTCCTTTAGCTTTTTCTTATCTGTGAAGCTCTTCATCTGATCTTCAATTCCAAATGATAGCTTTGCTGGGTAGAGTAATCTTGGTTGTAGGTTCTTGCTAGTCATCACTTTGAATATTCCTTGCCACTCCCTTCTGGCCTGCTTATTTTCTGTTGAGAAATCAGCTGACAATCATATGGGTACTCCCTTGTAGGTAACTAACTGCTTTTCTCTTGCTGCTTTTAATATTCTCTCTTTGTCTTTTACCCTTGGCATTTTAATTATGATGTGTCTTGGTGTGGTCCTCTTTGGATTCCTCTTGTATGGGGTTCTGTGCGCTTCCTGTCCTTGTAAGTCCATTTCTTTCACCAGGTAGGGGAAGTTTTCTGTCATTATTTCTTCAAATAGGTTTTCAGTATCTTGCTCTCCCTTCTTTTGGCACCCCCATAATTTTGATGTTGGTATGCTTTAAGTTGTCCCACAGGCTCCTTACACTATCTTCAAATTTTTGGATCCTTTTTTTTTTTTTTTTTGGTTAGATGTTTTTTGCTTCTTCGTATTTCAAATTTTTGACTTGATTCTTGCCATCCTCTAGTCTGCTGTTGGATCTCTGTATTTAATTCTTTATGTCAATCAGTGTATGCTCAATTTCTAGTTTGTTTGTTTTTTTTCATATCCTCGGGCACTCACTAAATTTGTCGGCCTTTTCTAGAAAATTCTTGAGAAACCTTATAACCGTGGTTTTGAACTCTATATCCAGTCATTTTATTTCCTCTATTCCTGTCATTTGTGATGTTTCTTTGTCTCCACTTTTTGGCTACTTCCCTGTGTTGATAGGCTTTCTGTGCTAGGTGTCTTATAGGGCCCAGTGGCTCAGCCTCCCCAATTACCTGAGGTGGACACTCTTGGTGAAATCCTTTGTGGGCTGTGTGCACAGTCTTGTTGTAATTAAGCCTTGATTGTTGTTGGTATCACTGGGAGGAATTGACCTCCAGGCCAATTGTCTGTGAGGATCAGTTGTGTCTACAATGAGAGAACTGCTGTGCTAGAGACACCCTTATGAGGCAAGACTTGCTTCAGTGGGGCTTTGGTGCTCACTGAATCTGTCCCTTGAGTGTGTCCCTTATGGATCTGAGGAGTTGTAATCTAGATGGTCCCATTCTGACCACTGGGTACACTGGCTCTTGGATCTCCAAGGAGATGCTAATTTAGCCTCTGCCTGAGGCCACCCAGCAGGAGCTACAGAGAGATCTGCAGATTCCTCTTCTTGGTTTGGAGTTTGGAGTTGCCCAGATGAGGCCCAGCTGTGAAACAATGCAAGCTGCTATGGGGCCTTGGGCCTTCTTTTGCATGTTCTGGGTCTCTCTGACTCAGCTGCAGTTTATGAGGTAATTTTAGATTTCAAAGGAGTAGGCCATTCATATGCAAAAGCCTCTGTGCACAGCTTGAATGGGGAGGAGTCTCAGGGTGGAGCAAACAGCAATGGTTTCCCATCAGCCCTGCCCTAAGAGGCCCCTGGGCCTCAGTATTCCGCAGTAATCGCTGCAAGCACCTCTGAGGGAAAGCTGCCCTCAAGTTTCGTCTGCTGCCTGACAATCCAGTTTCTCCCTATATGAGTCAGGGTTTCTAGAGTCTCACCGGGAACTGGAGTTCAGAGCAGTCGGGAGTTTGTGTCTCCCTCCTGATTAAAAAGGCCAGCCACTTACTCAGTTGCCAGCTCTCTTCGTGCATGCCTCCATACCTCTGCCTTTACCTCCACAACTCCTCTGAATCTCAGTGTGCTTTTCTCTTTCTTTCTAGTTGTAGAATTTCCACTCCACCAGCCTTCCTATGGTTCTGCATGATGTCCATTTTGTCTTTTAGTTGTAGATTTGAAGTGGCTGTGGGAGGCAACAAGTTCAGGTTGTTGAAAGCTGCCCTCAGGTTCTGGCCCATTGCCAAACAGTCCAGATTACCTATGCCACCATCTTGGTTTCTCTAGAAAATTCTTGAGTAACCTTATAACCGTGGTTTTGAACTCTATTCCAATAGTTTGCTTTCCTCCATTTCTTCCATTTGTGACTTTCCCCCCCCCCCTCCACATTTTGGCTGCTTCCCTCTGTTGATAGAGTGGCTTTGTGTACTATAGGGCCCAGTGGCTCAGCCTCCCCAATTACCTGAGGTGGACACTCTTGGTGCAACCCTTTGTGGGCTGTGTGCATAGTCTTGTTGTAATTAAGCCTTGATTGTTGTTGGTATCGCTGGGAGGAATTGACCTCCAGGCCAATTGTCTGTGAGGATCAGCTGTATCTACAATGAGAGAACTGCTGTGCTAGAGACACCCTTATGGTGCAAGACTTGCTTCATTGGGGCTTTGGTGCTCACTGAGTCTGCTCCTTGAGTGTGTCGCTTATGGTTGTGAAGAGTTGTAATCTGGTGTGGCCTCACACTGACCACTGGGTACATTGGCTCTTGGATCTCCAAAGAAGTGGCAAAATCAGCCACTGCCTGAGGCTACCCAGCAGGAGCTACAGAGAGATTTGCAGATTCCTCTTCTTTGTTTGGGGTTTGGCAGTGCCCAGATGAGGCCCAGCTGTGAAGCAATGTAGGCTGCTGCTGCAGAGCCTTAGGCCTTCTTTTGGAGGCTTTGAAGCTCTCTGACCCACCCAGCTGCAGTTTAAGTTTTAGGTTGCAAAAAGACAGACCATTCGTATGCAAAAGCCTCTGCACACAGCTTGGGTGGGGTTGTAAATTGGATGGGAATCACCAGGGCAGAGCAAACTGCCAGTCATCCTGCTTCAGAGAGGTCCCGGGTCTCTGTGTCCCGAGGTCCCATGGAGTAACAATGATCGCAGCAAGCACACTGAGAGAAATCCGCCCTCATGTTCTGGCCCAATGCCAGACAGTCCAGTTTTTCCCTGTATGAGTTTCTCCCAGAGTTTCTCCCGGAACCAGAGTTCAGAGCAATCAGGAGCTTGTATCTCGCTCCCAATTGAAAAAAACAACAGCGCACCCCATTGCCAGCCCGTTTCACGTGCCTCCATACCTCTGCACTTCCGCACCTCCATACCTCCTACCAGTCTCAATATGCTTTTTTTATTTCCTTCTAGTTGTAGAACTTCCACTCAATCAGTTTTCCTGTGGTTTTGGATGATACTTATTTTGTCTTTTAGTTTTGATGTGGTTGTGAGAGGCAGCAAATACAGGTTTTTACCTATGCTGCCTTCTTGGTTGTTCTCTGGCTATTGTCACTTTTTAAAAAATATTTGTATTGATTTCAGAGAGGAAAGGATTGAGAGAGAGAGAGAGAGAGAGAGAGAGAGAGAGAGAAGAAATATCAATGATGAGAATCATTGATCCTCTGCCTCCTGTATGCCCCCCACCGAGTTTCGATCCTGCAACCTGGGCATGTGCCCCTGACTGGAATCAAACCCGGGACCCTTTTCATCCTGCAGGCTGATGCTCTATCCACTGAGCCAAACCCGCTAGGGCTATTGTCATTTTTTAAATTTGACACTCTAAGGGAGAAGAGGTCAGTGCCCTGACTAAACAGTCAGGTATTGCATATGTTTTTAAAAAAATTCTTGTGGCACACAGGTTGAAAACCACTGAACCAGACAATAAGCTCTGTGCAGTTAGGGACCAAGCCTAAACTTTTTGTCACTCTATTTCCAGTCCTGGCTTATATTAAGACTTTCATAAAAATGTATTGAGCAAATGAATGTCAAGTGCCATGTTAGATGCTGGAGATTCAAAACATAACTTGGCAAAACCTAACCAAGCAGAACATGGCCCTTTTACATTCACTTCTTAGAATGTTATAGCTGCTTTTAAAAAGTTATAAACGTTGAACTTGTGTTTGGCTTCCTCTTAATGGTCTACATGGAGTGTGAATACCCCTTCACCAGCATCAGAGTAGTCATTCTGAGTAATTCTGTCCATTTTAGAGGAGCCAAGGGAAATCAAAGGAAGGAAGGAGCAAGGCCCAATGTTTGTTATTGACCCCATCCAGCGAAGCTCTACTAAGGGAGGGCTAAGTTCCTGGTTCAAGGCAATACAGAAGTGCAGCAGAGGAATGAGGCCATTTCTTGAGTGTTGCTAATGCTCTTCCTGTTGTGAATTAAATGTACTGAAAGCAGTCATCTCAGTTATTTATTTCCCTTCCCATTTATCCCTTGGGGTCTGAATAAAAGAAGACTATTGGTAGCTCCAGCAGGCAACCAATAGTCTTTATTTTTCAGATCCTGAGGATAAGTGAGAAAGGAAATAAATTCTTCTAATTCTGCATAGAACCAGGCAGTTTCTACTCCACCTATTCCCAACAGTCTGACCTGTAACCCACAAATGGAAAAAAAAAAAAAAATCACACCGAACTGATAATGGGTCTCTACTTCTGAAAACAACAACAACAATAACAACAACAACAAACAACCACAAAACAGATGATGAATCCAATTTTCAGTCAGCCAGGAGCGGAACTGACTTTACAGAATGTTTGTGTTCATTAGTCACTTTTGTTCATAGGGTTCAAAGGGACCAGAGTTCATGGGTTGGTTGACAGTTCAGTAACCCCAAGATAATGCCAGAAAACTTCCAGTCATCCTGGCATAATCACACTATTTATTTTCCTTGGCTTCTTTCCAAACAACAAGAAAAGAATCAGCTCAGGCTGCATAGACTTCCATCTCCACAGAATTGGAAAGACCATGGACAACATTTCTTGTTCGAATCCCCAGAAGCCATGGAAGAAAGGGGCAGAATCAGAATAGAAATACTAGGTTCTTCCTTCTTTAAGTGAACATGGTCAGAATTATTTGGGCAGAATTTGGCCAGGAATTCAATGTTTATTTTCTCTAAAATATAGTTGCAGTTCCTTTATTAAAGGTACAAATCCACTGTCTGCTACAATAACACTACATTAACTTTCACAAAATACTTTGTAATTGAAAAGGTGCTTTTACATCTTATTTCATCTTATCCTAACAATCCCATGAAATAGATTTTCTTATTATATTCCTCTAGAGCAGTCTAATGATATGTAGGTAACAAGACATATCACTGGGGCTATAATTCTGATCTTTCCAATCTGCCTAGAGGTGACAAGGGGAGTTAAGTGCTCTATAGACTGCACATATGAATAGGCTGCTCCATGTGATATAGATTGGAAAAGACCATTTGACTCCTGGGAGTTCTCCAAGGATGAGGTACACTGCTTCCTTGTCACCAACCCTACTGCATCGCCCCTTCCCTAAAGTAATGCTACCAAAGTATTCCCAGGAGAGCCAAAGATATATATTTGTAGACTTCTCTGTGGGTATTTACATAGATTTACATACTGCTTTGTGCAAATCTGTTGTCACATTTTAAAAGTTTAAATTCCAGGCACATAAAATAAGTTCCCTATTCTTTAGAGAAAGAGGCTTGTCACACTAAGCTGCTTTATACTAATATAAAGGCACTCTGGCACATGTTCACATAGAAGTAAACATTTAGGCTCTGGCTGGGTAGCTCAGTTGGTTAGAGCATCATCCCAATATGCCAAGGTTGTAGGTTTCAGCCCTGGTCAGGGCACATACAAGAATCAACCAATGAATGCATAAACAAGTGGAACAATAAGTCAATATTTCTGTGTGTGTGTGTGTGTATTCCTCTTTCTCCTAAAAGAAAAAAAATCAATAAATTTAAAAAATTGTAAAAAGAAGGAAATATTTATTCCAGTTAGTCATAAAATCTTGAGTACACACTCTGTGATTCTAGGTGTAAGGCAGATTCCCTCTACCCCCTCGGTCCATGAATTGGCCTGCCAATAAGATACATATTACTAATCTACTCCTTGCATGGAAATAGAATATCATTATTTAATATATAGAAAGGCGCTTTGAACAATATGGTATAGTAGATAAATATGGCATACTTCAAAATTAGAAGTACAATATTTGTATCATTAGTGATAATAAAAAATAGAGAGGCCTTTTGTGTTGACTCCAGATTTTTCTGCCTCTTATAATTACATCAGAGGCTTTCAGAATTTTCATTGTCATCCTAGTTTCTTCACTTGACATCAAATTTTATTTCAAACCAAAAGTTTCTATGGACCACGCTCCACTATAAATATATTCCAAACATATAAAAATGTACAAGAGCGTTCTGTGACTCCAGGTGTGTCAAGAAATCTAATATGATCCAAGAAATAGAACTATGTTTTCACCATGATGTGAAATTGTGATTGCTCTCTTCAGATGATCCAGATGGCCTTCATCAGCTAGATGGAACTCCTTTAACCGCTGAAGACATTGTCCAGAAAATCGCCACCAGGATTTATGAGGAAAATGACAGAGGAGTATTTGACAAGATCGTTTCTAAACTCCTGAATCTTGGCCTAGTGAGTCACATGCATGAGAATAAATCAAATTCTTAATACAGTTTGGGATATGCTAAGTATCCAAGCCATTTGATTCAAGTAGTCAAATGTTTATAATATGTGTACTTTATACTAGATACCAGAGGTTTCCAGGACAAGTAAGGCACCATTCTTTCCTTCTAGAAAAGTATAGTCTATCAGAGGAATTAGATAAGTACCCTCACGCATATGATGGAACCTACATAAGAACCATAAGATCAATTTATTTGCCAGAGGATGAATTATATCCACTTGAGCTATAAGGAGAAGCTTCAGAGGAGGAGGTGTTGGAAGTGAGCTTAGAAGGATGATTAGGATTTAACCAGTTTAAGTAACAGACATGTGTGAGGTACGAAGGAAATAGCATGAACAAAGGCATGCAACATTTAAGAAACTAAGCAATCCAGTTTGACTCTGCCTCAGCTTAGCCCCCAGCCTGCACAGCCCTCGCAGGCTTCGGGTGGTACTAAATTTTCAGGTTTCAAAGGTTACCTGACCATGACTTGCAGCTGAGGGTTGAGAAACAATCCTCAAGATGTGTCTCAAAGTAAGTGTTCTGAAGGTTCCAACAGACAAGACTGATCACTTGCATGGTGAGCCCTAAGACACTTCTTCCCAGGAGTGCTGGTCAATCACTATAAAGACCTACATGTATGGAAGCATAAACAAGGGGGGCTTACGCTTGTCCAGAAGGGGGGTCAGAAGATTCTCTTGTCTTCTAGAACTCTGTTCAACTACAGAGTTTATTCTAGATTATTTTTTAACCATAAAAATGGGAGTAATAGCCACATATGTTTTTACTATAACAGATCACAGAAAGCCAGGCTCATACACTGGAAGATGAAGTAGCAGAGGTTTTACAAAAATTAATCTCTAAGGAAGCCAACAGTTATAAAGAGAAACCCAATAAACCCACAAGCAAGACTGAGAGTCAGAGTGGAAAAATACCAGAGAAAGTGGTATGTATATGTGAATATACATGAGCATGCAATGTACATGCGTACGTATGCGTGTGTGTGGACATGAATGTATGTGTGTGTTTACTCTAATCTGCATGTAATTAATACAATCTGTATATAATTAGTACCTCACTTGGTGCCAAAGAAGATTTGGGGTATGTGATATTTTTAGTCCACCTAAATATTCATGAAATACCAATAACTTAAAAGATATAAATGGACTCTACTTTGAAAATAATTTTGAGATCATGTAATATTACATAGTAAATGTTACATTTTATATCCTATAGTATAATAGGACATAATATTATGTAAAATGGTTATTTCACATAACAGCTATTTGTATAACCCCAGTGTACTAAAATTAAATATTTCACAGCTCCTTTGGCATCCAACTTTTGTTCGCTGTGGATATCATTATATGCCCCCCAATTTTTTTTTTTAAATTAAAAGCTCAGGTTGACTTGATCTTTGGCCACACCCACTTTTATATCCCCCCGACTTGGTTGCCTGAGCTACCTCTACTCTACCTTGTGCTCCCTCATGTGTTCGTTCCTCTTTTCATTGGTTCAGCGGTCTCTTATCCTTCACTTGGTCCCATCACTCATTCTTTTCCTTACTGGACTCTTTGCCTCTTCATCTCTTCTTATTCTCAGCCAAACTGCTGAAATTTTTATTTCATCCTTGATTCTCTTTAAAACTCTAGATGGAACTAACAATAGGAAGATATCAAATTCCTCCCATCTTCTTTGATGTTCTCCACCAGAATTCCCAGACCCTATGGCCTCTCATCCCCTTCAACATCCTATCCCAAACACAAGGAAAAGGAGTATATAGGCTTACATACTCCTGTTTTAGAGGGGGTTTCGACACGTAAATTAAGTCTTGGTTTTTGTTATTAGGTAGTCTAAAAGCTCCTTTTGTTCTCCCTACTTCCAATCCCCATCAGCTGCCATCTTTTTTTTTTTTCTTTTTTTAATATATTTTATTGATTTTACACAGGAATTAGAGGGATAGAGAGTTAGAAACGTCGATAAGAGAGAAACATCGACCAGCTGCCTCTTACCCACCCCTTACTGGGGATGTGCCCACAACCAATGTACATGCCCCTGACTGGAATCGAACCCGGGACCTTTCAGTCCGCAGGCCGATGCTCTATCCACTGAGCCAAACCGGTTTCGGCCAGCTGCCATCTTTTAAAACAGTTTTGTAGAGCTAGCCACTGTAAAAAAAAAAAACCAAAAAACTTTCCAGCTTTATCAAAGAACTCATGACTTTCATTCAAGCTTATCAGTCTGAACTGAAACTGACATACTGTTAGCTATTTTCACTATGTTTTACTCCAATTATATACTCCTTATTTCCCATCTCTAAAATGTCCATGTTCTCCACCTGTTCACTCGTGTTATCTAAATGCATCAATGTAAATAAAATGCAAATGAAATCTTTTAAAATAAATATTTATTGAGGTACCAGCTCTAGCTGATGTGGGTGGGTGGTCAGTGTTAGCCTACTCCCTGAAGAGTCAAGGGTTTGGCTCCCGGTCAAGGGCATGTACCAGGTTGCAGGTTGACTCTCCACCTCTAAACAGGGCATGTGGCTCTCTCACATCGATATCTCTCTCACTCCCTCTCCCCCCTGGAAAAAAATGCAATGGAATAAATATTTATTGAGGTACCAACTATGTACCAAGCAGTAGGGATATAATGCTCATTTAAAAAGGCATAGTCTCTGCTCTCAAAAAGCTTAAGATAGATGGTTTTTAAATAGCCATGTATTTTAATTGCAACTGCATTAAGTGCTCTGAGGAAAGAAACATGGTTTTATGAGCACTTTTTTTTTTAAAGAACTTGTTCTGGACTTAGACTCCAGGAAGGCTTCCCTAAGAAAACAACCTGACCTGAAGGCTGAAGAGTAATTAACTTGTGACCATGAGAGCCAGCATGTAAAAAAGTGTATATGGAGTGTCCAAGTAACTAAAACAAGTGCAATGTGGCTGGAACAGAGAGAGAGAGAGAGTGATAGGTGATGAGACTGGTAGGTGGACCCAGGTCTGACCAGTCAGGGCCTTATGAGCCATGTATGGATTCTGATCTTTATCATAACAATGGAAAAACAACTAGGTTTATAAGCAAAGGAGTCACATAGTCTGTTTTTTAAACAACTCTGGGTACAAATGCAGAAAATGCAATATTGGGAATAGATTGGAGGTGGATGGTGTACTAGTTAGAAGGTAAGAGATGAAGGCAGCTTGGACTAGAGTTGGGTAGAGAGAAAGAGAGAAATGTACAAATTTGGGATAAATCTTGAAAGTAGGTCTAAAAGGACAACTGGTGGATTGAATGGAAGAAAATGAAGAGGAAGAAGCAAAAAAAAAAAAATAATAGAAATTTTTGTCTGGTTCACTGAATATAAAATGGATCACTAATATAATATGAAAACCTTAGCATGGATCAAGTCTAGGAAAGTGTCTTATGCATCTTTTTAGACAGCCCTTAAAATGTCACCCCAAAATCTCCAAGGTGTGGTTGCTCTACTCTTGTTAGATATTCTAACTAAGTTTCCTATACCTTGCACCATCTTTCTTGGTAGAGTCTGTGAACTCAAAGCTCCTCTTCTTGGTGAAAGGCAATTTTACTAGGAGACAGTCATGAGAATTGATGGAGGGGAACTCAGCCAGAGCAGAAACCTAGAAATTCCCTAATTCTCCCCTGAGCAGGATCCAGGGTCTTCAGTCTCTAGGTTCCAATGACTTTTCCATGTGTCTGGATGCCCATCCTCATGCCTAGAAAAGGGTTTGATCCTGCAGGAGCAGGCAAAGGAGGAAGTTTTGTGTGGTTTTTTTTTAAATTCTTTATTGTTGAAAGTATCACATATGTTTCCTTTTCCCCCCATTGATCTCTCCCCACTCCCTCCTGCCCCCCAACACATGCTCTTCCCACTCCCTGCCACCACCCCCCAAACACATGCCTTCACCCCACACCCCACCCCCTATTATCTGCATGCATACAAATCCTTTGGTTGATCTCTAGGAGGAAGTATTCTTGTATTTCACAGTCAAGGACACAACAGAGGAAAAAAATCAAACTGGAGTGTCATTAGTTCTAACAAATTGTTTATTTTTCATTGATTTTTAAAATTCCCACTGGAGATTCCAATGGCAGCAGTTCAAGATGGTTTTGCTAATGGAGAAAATGATGAAACAGTATCTAATACCTTAACCTTGACAAATGGCTTAGAAAGAAGAACGGAAACCTACAGTGAAGATAACTTTGAGGAACTCCAATATTTTCCAAACTTCTATGCACTCCTGAAAAGTATTGATTCAGGTAAAAACTATTTTCTGACTATGTGGAACAGAAACAATAGTTCCAGGAAATGTGTGGGTGGTTTTCTCTTCCTGTTTTCTGTTTCCAAGTGTAATCCTCAATGACATATTATAGCCTTGGGGAACATAGTTCATATCAATTTTTTCTAAGCAAATGTACTAGTCATGGAAATATTTAGGAAAGGATGATCAGGAAAGGTGGAGTTTCTGGACAGTTTAATCTTCTTGTTAACAGAGGGCTCATTTGTTTGTTCAACAAACAGTTACTGAACATGTGCTGCATTGATGGTACAGGAGTGAACCTTGTGCAGGTGTGTAGATGAGTCAATGTCCCAGCCTGACGCAGTTCAGCCTCCACTCTTATTGCAAATATTACCATTTTAGTGGGAACAGTGTGTGGAACATAACTGATTATTTTTTAAGTGATTCAGAATTTTGCTTTTTAGACATTTTCAACTTCAATCTTCAAATTAGTTACAGTGAAATAAACATTGGATTAAAGGCGGTCAGAAGCCCAAAACAGACTTGGAAAATGATTTGTTTTTTCAAAAAACAAAGACCTTAATGTGTCTTGCTCTTTCTCTTATATGTGTACCAAAATAAGTTAACTGAAGATTTTAGCTCATGTTCATTTTTGGTCAATCTATAAGGAGGATAATATTGGACAAATTTTCTGTTGTTATTATTGTCCAGACAGATGGCTTTTCCTCTTCTTATTCAAAAATTCAGTGCCAAATTGAATGTTTGTAATAAATATTTCTGTAATTCTGACAATATTTTTCCAAGAAGTGACCTTAGAGTGGGCTTTCATTACCAGAGAACATCCTTTGTCATCCTTTGTCCTTCAATTCCAGACATTGGCCAGATGGCACCAGCTCCTCTGTTAGTGACTGCAAGGTTGGAAATCTTGAGGGTCCGTTCTGAGTCATCTTGCCTGACTGGTTGGCAGATGCCCAGCTCAGATCTTCTGTCATCCTGGTGACTCACCTCTTGTCAGTGAAGAACATCAGCATGATACCAAAGATTTATATGGCTGTGACTTTAAGCAAATAATAGGATGCCTGGAGTTATTTACCAGCAATTTTTCAAGTTCTCTCCCCACATCTCTTCTCCCACCTTTCCTTTTTCCCAACCTTGTGACTTTGATGGTATTTTAAATATTCTACTACATGGAATAGTCCTCATTTTATTTGCTTTTAATCTTTCAGATTCATTGACCCCATTCCATATTGCCTTTATTTTTGCAGGCTTTTCATTTAAATACTTACTTTGAGGTCTTTGATAGTACCTGTCTTTCTCACTCAAGGTCTGAACCAAATGAGAAACAGGAAAGTGGGTAGAAAACCAAAATATCTCTAATGCTGATAAAGATGGGTTGTGGAATGGAGCTTGGTATAAGAGGCCCATAGTGGGCTTGTGCAGTCATGCTCCTCAGTCTAGCTCTTAAAACAGTCAATCCCAGGGATAGTCTGAGTCAACAGATCAGGTGCTTTTCCTGCCTTCCACTGTTCCAGAGGAGTGGAAAGAAGAAAGACTTCCAATCCCCATTGGGAGAGAAATGTACACTAATCTGCGTTGGCTACTAACCTCATGTGTGAGAAGGATGAAAAGATGAGGGGGAAAGGGCAAGAAGTATATAAAGAAAATCCTTAATAGCAGCTAAAAGACTAGCAAGAGATGTTTTAATGGTTTTAGAATTAATATATCTACTGAACTTTTATGGAATCATTAGCCATCTTGTTACATCAAGATGTAAAACAGTACGTATGTCAAATATGAAGAGTTCGCTATAGGGAGTAAGTATTGGGAGAAGAGTATTTTATTTGACTATTATTTACTTCTGTACTATTGAATACTTTTACTGAATACATATATCCTTTCAAATGAAAGTTTAGAAAGTAATATATACTACTGTTAAAAATAAGCCTTATATTTAAAAATAAAGATAAATGTATATTTTTATTTAAAATACAGTACTAAGCTTGATTAATGAAAACAGGTAGTTCTTGCCCTCAAAACGTATAGTCTGAATAGAGAAAGTGGTTGGGTCACCAACCTTCTATTTTTCCTTTTGAATTCATATTGTCTCAGGTCATAAACTTTCTCTATCATCTACTTCATTAATAAGGTATTTTAGATTAAAGTAAATCTTTTTGGAGAAGTTAAAATTATCCATTTCTGGAAAAGCTTAGTATTCCTGTACATTGTCCTGCACTCCCAAGCAAGCCTTAGGCTTTCTGTAAATTAAATATAAGCGGGTTTAGATATAAATGTAGGGAGAAATGTTTCAATAAGATGCTGTACTTTTTAAATTGACATTAAAAGGTGGAAATGTATGCCACTACTTAAAAAAATCTTTTTTCATACTTTTATATAGAAAAAGAGGCAAAAGAAAAAGAAACACTGATTACTATCATGAAAACACTGATTGACTTTGTGAAGATGATGGTCAAATATGGCACAATATCTCCAGAAGAAGGTGTTTCATACCTTGGTGAGAGTCTTATCTGTTTTGTTTTTACTGTTGTTAGTCTTCATCATCCAAAGTAAGTTAGATATTTGGCAATAATTACTTCACTACTCTGATAATTGCCAAATAGTCTAAATTATCTGGGTAAGCAGAATTGCCCAGCTTGATAATGCATATTAAAAAATTTAACCAGAAGTTTTAATCAACTTTTAATCTTTATAGATCCAATTTTAGTACAAACATTTCACATTTGTTGTATTTTGTCCTGCTAACACAGACAATTTTATCAAACTTGACCTTATTATTTTTTTCAATTTTATTTGAATGGTTAATACTAAGAGTCTTGACTTTAACCGGTGAGATTTGTATGTGAATAGGAGAAAAAAAGCACCTTTCTAGGGAGCCCTTACAACTGAACTTCTGAGGCTGAGCTGGTTGTCTCAGACCAGCTCTGTCATATGGACAAAGGCAAATGCCTCTGTTTCTACATCTTTTAAATAAAGGACTTTGTTATCTATAACAGGAGCCAGTAAACTACTGCTCATGGACCAAATCTGGCCCATAACCTATTTTTTGTATGGTACACAAGCTAAGGATGACTTGCGCATTTTCAAATGGTTGGGGGGGGGGGAGATCAAAATAACAGTATTTTGTGACAGGAGAAAATTATGTAGAATTCTGATTTCAGTGTTTATAGATGAAGCTTCATTGGAACATAGCCATGCATGTTTGTTTTAGTGTCTATGTTTTGTGATACGATAAAAGAATTGAATAGTTGAGACCATATGGCCTAAAAAGCCAAAAATATTTACTATCTGGCCCTTTAAAGATAAAGCTGTCTACCCTTGATTCTTGGAACTTTATAAGTAAGCTTGGACATTTTTTGATTCTGCATGTAAGTTGTAGTTGCTGTTGTTGTTTAAAGTATTTTATTTTCCTGCTTGGTTTAGTTAATCAACAAATACCAGTCACCCCTGGTGTCTTTCGGGCAAGATGACTTCACAACCCCTTTCTCTGGTCTTTGATGAGGGAGGGAGAATTAAACAGAAGAGAAAATCTCATAGCACAAACAATCTAGAATTATTCTGTATGAATTGAATTTCTTTCTACATAAAAAGAGTTGTGCTGTTTTTTCTGATTATAAAAGAGCACATTTATTTTTTTTTAAAGCAGTCAATTCAAGAAAGGTAGTAAAAGCCGAAACCGGTTTGGCTCAATGGATAGAGCGTCGGCTTGGGGACTGAAAGGTCCCGGGTTTGATTTCGGTCAAGGGCATGTACCTTGGTTGCGGGCATATCCCCAGTAGGGGGTGTGCAAGAGGCAGCTGATCGATGACTCTAATCGATGTTTCTAACTCTAACTCTCTCCCTTCCTCTCTGTACAAAAATCAATAAAATATATATTTTAAAAAAAAAGGTAGTAAAAAAATCACTCATAATACTAGCATTTAGGTAATATTTTAGTTTATGTCTTTTCAGGTATTTTCTGTGTGTGTGTGTGTGTGTGTGTGTGTGTGTGTGTAGGCACACATGTATATCTATGTCATTCTTTTTAAAAAATATATGCTTTTACTGATTTTAGAGAGAGAGGAAGGGAGAAGGGGAGAAAGCCCCCTACAGGGGATCAACCCAGGCATGTGCACTGACCAGGAATTTAATCAGTGCCCTTTCATTCCATGGGACACCACCCACTCAGCCAACTGAGCCATTCTGACCAGGCCCTATGTCATTCTTTTTCCTTTTTTAAATATATTTTATTGATTTTTTTACAGAGAGGAAGAGAGAGGGATAGAGAGTTAGAAACATCGATGAGAGAGAATCATCGATCAGCTACCTCTTGCACACCCCCCACTGGGGATGTGCCTGCAACCAAGGTACATGCCCTTGACCGGAATCGAACACAGGACCTTTCAGTCCACAGGCCGACGCTCTATCCACTGAGCCAAACCGGTTTCGGCTCATTTTTTTCTTTTATCTGACTTAACAAAAACATGGATTCATGCTATATACACAGTGCTTTGTAGACCACTTACTCACTTAACAGTAGGTCAAAGACTGTTTTAAATCAGTCATTGTTTTATACCAATGCCCCAGGACTCAGAACTTCCTCACTTTAATCCTTTTTTCTATGGAAATAAATTAGACATACCATAAGGCTTATGTACAAGGTAGATATTTCCACTACTGTTTATGGCTGTACTGTCCAGTATGGTAGCCATTAACCATATGTTGCTATTAAAATAGAAAGTAATCAAGCCCAGTGTGGCTCCAGGGATGACTTATAAACCAGGAGGTCATGGTTCGATTCCCGGTCAGGGCATATGACTAGGTTGTGCGCTTGATCCCCAGTGTGGGGCCTGCAGGAGGCAACCAATCAATGACTCTCTCATCATTGATGTTTCTCTCTTCCTCTCTCTTCCTCTCTGTAATCAATAAAAATATATTTTAAAATAATAAAAATTTAAAAAATGAAAAGCAATTAAAATTAAACAAAATTTATTTATTTTTATTTGTTAAACTGATTGGGGTGACATTGGTCAACATGAACATATCAGTTTTAGGAATGGGTTTCTTTGTTACAAGATATTGTATATTGTACCATGTGTGCACACCCCAAGTCAAATCTTCTCCTGGCACCTTATATTAAGACCCCCTCTCCCCCTACCCTCTGCCCTCTGGCAACCACACTGCTGTTTGTGTTCATGAATTTCAGTTTATATCAGTTTTAGGAGTGAAATCACATGGTTCTTAGCTTTTTCTGACTGACTTATTTTACTTAGCACAATGTTCTCAAGGTCCATCCACGTTGTTGCAAATGGTGCTACTTTGTCCTTTTTTATGGCTGAGTAATATTCAATTGTGTATGTGGACTTCTTTATCTAGTCCTCTATCACAGGGCACTTTGGTTGTTTCAATGTCTTAGCCACTGTGAATGATGCTGCAATGAACATAGGGGTGCATATATCTTTGCTAATACATGATTTCGAATTTTTGGGATATATACCTAGAAGAGGGAAGATTTTAAATCTAGTTTTTCATATAGTAGGCACATGTACCTGGTGGCTACCACATTGAACCAATACAGAAGTAAATATTTCCATCATTGCAGAAAATTCTCTTGGACAACACTGGTTTATAGGAACAAAAAAGTGTAAATGACCTAGATATTCCACAAGAGGAAAATATCTAAAATAAATTATTTAGTGGTTCTTATGTTAGACTATTTAAATTTTTCTTTCAAATGTATGTGTTTTTAATAATTGTATGTTCATTACATATGCAATGTAAACATTGTTGATAAGGATTAATAACAAGAGGAAATATTCATGACTCTATTGAATGCTTAAAGCCATTTAGAACTTTCGTGTTAAAAAATGAATGTATGTATAGAAAGTTGGACAGAAATATACCAAAATGTTATCTGGAATAAAAGAGACTGCATCATACAATAGAATATACTATTTTTCTTCTCAAAAGAGGCATGGGGTAGAATGAAGGGAGAGTTTACTTGGAGAGGAATAATATAAAGTAATAATGGATTCTTCATAGATTAATTGCAAAGAAATGGTTGTTTGCAAATAGCAAAAAAGACTTGCCCTATTAGTAAGATAGAATATGTGGCTGGTTGAATAACTAAATACAGAATGTAGATTCTAATGTGTTGTCTACCTTGAGCTGGTTACAGTCTAGACTCATATCTAGTAACATTTATGTGATGTTACTCCAAAGGGCATAGTTAGGACAAAGACAAGGATAAGATTTCATCTTGATAAGAATAGGGAAATTCTCACTCTTACGACTATCAGTCGAACTAGCTGTCTCATGAGTTAATGAGAATACTAAATGATGGAAATCCAACTCTTTGGCTTAAATGAAAAGAAAATTTAATTGCCTCATGTAGCTGAAAAGTCCAGGGTTAGAGGTGGTCTGGCTTCATGTTTGTTAAGTCTACCAATGGTGTAAGGAGGAGTCTATTACTCCCCATCTCACAGCTCCGATTTTCCATATTTTCATTTTAAACAAGTGGTTCCTTTATAAGAACAAGATGGCTAGCACAGCTCCAATCTCACATCCCCACAGAACAAGAATCCCATTGGGAAGAGAACCTCTTTCTCCCAGTGGTTCTAGCATTGAATGTAATTGTCGTGGCTTGAGTCATGTTTTTCTCCTTGAACCAATCACTGTAGTCCAGGGGGTGGAAGACCTTGAGACAAATGTGCTGAGAGTGGGAGAGGTGTGGGTTTTCCAAAGGAAAACTAAGGTGTAGTTACCAGAAGGTATTGAGTAGGCCAAAACCACAGTGTTCATTATAGGTTTCAACCCTATATATTCTAGCTGTGGCCATAAAAATATGGAAGGAACTTCTGCAATTAACTGGGTAAGAGGATGAACCTGGGATCTCAGATAGGATTCTTTATTATCCTGAGAGTCTAGCAATAAATCCATGTCAAATCATCTTTCTAGCAGTGTTAATATCATGAAATTCCTATTGTGACATTTTTGGTGAAACTTGAACATTTTTAGTAGAAGTTTGATAATATCTTTCAGGAAATAAAATTATATTTTTCCCCTCCTCCCTCAAGAAAACTTGGATGAAACAATTGCTCTTCAGACCAAGAACAAGCTAGAAAAAAATGTTACTGACAACAAAAGCAAGCTTTTCTCAGGTATGATTTAACAATTTTTCTTGCTTTGAGCACAACCTTTTGAATTATAAATAATGAACTTCAGTAAGCATTATAAAGAATTATAGATTTTTTAAAGTTTTAAAATCTGAAATCCAACCGTGGGATTAAAGAGCTACAACCTTGGTTATTTTGTGGCCAGCCTCAGCACAGAAATCTGATCCCGAGAAGCACTGAAAAATGGAAGTACATCTTTAGTTAAGATTCTTAGGAAGTGGTCAGGGCCCCAAACACCTGCCATTGTCTTAAATTCTTAGGTGCTATTCTGAGTAATAAGCTATTCTTCAAATATACAACAAAGTAGAGTTTGGGCAACTACAGACTTATTTGCATTTTGAATCAAGACTCAAATTTCCATTGGGATCTGACCTATCCCACTTAATTGCCTACATTAGTTAAAGTAATGGAAATAATCCATGGCTCTAATGACACAGTATGGCAGAAGAGAAAGAACATTAAACCAAAATCCAGGATGCTGACAGGTTGGTCCAGCTTTTCTGCTAACTCAGTGGATGACCGTGGCACAGCTCTCCCTTCTCTGGGCCTCAGTTTTCCCCTCTGTGAAATGGGAGGAGGGAGATGGTATAGATAACCACTAAGATCTCTTTCAGCTAAAAAAATTTTAAAAAAAATGACCTACACTCAAACTGTACTTTTTTAATAGTTTATTTCTACATTAGGAGTTAATTAATGGATTGGGAATAGGGTTATACCAACAGTGCACAATCTGATTACAGCGCCATCAATGAAGGGTCATGAAGAAACAGACAGTACCAAGGAAGAAGCAGCTAAGATGGAAAAGGAATATGGAACCTTGAAGGATTCCACAAAAGATGATAATCCCAGAGGAAAAACAGATGAGCCAAAAGGTATGGAATTAACAGATCTAGGTTGGCAATGAAAGTGGGGAAGCAAAAATGTTCAACACACCTGAAAGGGTGATCCATAAGTCAAGTCCCACCACTAAGAATAACTATTGAGCAATCATTTCTTCTAATGTTCTTGAGTGTCCTGGGATTGCAAATTGGTTTTATCTTTTTGATGGTCTTTTTTTTTTTTTAATTTAAAGTATTACATAAGTCTCCTTTTCCCCTCATTGTCTTCTCTCTGCCCAATCCCACCCCCCAGCACATCATCCCCCTACTGTCTGTGTCCATTGGTTATGCTCATATGCATGCATACAAGTCCTTTGGTTGATCTCTTACACGCTGCCACTCCACTGCCTTCCCTCTTAGGTTGGATGGACTATCTGATGCTTCTATGTCTCTGGCTTTATTTTTGTTCATCAGTTTATAAGTGAGATCATGAGATATTTACCAGTATCTTTCTCTAACTGGCTTATTTTGTTTAGCATAATGCTCTCTAGGTCCAACCATGCTGTTGCAAATGGTAAGAGTTCCTTCTTTTTTTACAGCAGTGTAATATTCCATTGTGTGATGTACCACTGTTTTTTAATCTACTCATCTGCTGATGGGCACTTGGGCTATTTCCAAATCCTAGCAATTGTAAATTATGCTGCTATGAACATAGAGGTACATATATCTTTTCTGATTGGTGTTTCTGATTTTTTTTGGCTATAGTCCTAGAAGTGGAATTACTGGGTAAAATGGGAGTTCAATTTTTAACTTTTTGAGGAAACTCCATACTTTTCTCCACAGTGGCTGCACCAGTCTGCATTCCCACCAGCAGTGCAAGAGGGTTCCTTTTTCTCCACATCCTCTTCAGCACTTGTCTTTTGTTGATTTGTTGATGATAGCCATTCTGACAGGTGTGAGATGGTTTCTCACTGTTGTTTTGATTTGCATCTTTCAGATCAGGGGTCTTCAAACTGCGGCCCGCGGGCCACATGCGGCCCACAGAGGAGTCTGATCTGGCCCGCCAGGTTTTTTGGGCAGTGAGCGCAGCCGAGGTGTTACAGTAGGAATTAGTAGTTCATATAGTCCGGCCCTCCAGCTCTCTGAGGGACCGTAATCTGGCCCCCACTTTAAAAAGTTTGAGGACGCCTGTTTCAGATGATTAGTGACTTCGAGCATGTTTTCATGTCTCTGGGACTTCTGTATGTCCTCTTTCAAAAAGTGTTCATTTTTTAATTGGGTCGTTTACCTTCCTTTTGTTAAGTTGTATGAGTTCTCTATAAATTTTGGAAATTGAACCCTTATCTGAAATAGCATTGGCAAATGTGTTCTCCCATGCAGTGGGCTTTTTTGTTGTTTTGTTGATGGTTTCTTTTGCTGCGAATAGCTTTTTATTTTGATGTTGTCCCATTTGTTTATTTTCTCCTTAGTTTCCATTGCTCCAGGAGCTGAATCAGTAAAGATATTGCTACAATATATGTCTTATATTTTGCTGCCTATAAATTCTTCTAATATTTTTATGGTTTTCCATTGTACATTTCAGTCCTTTATCCATTTTGAGTTTATTTTTGTGTATGGTGTAAACTGGTGGTCTAGTTTCAGTTTTTTGCATGTATCTGTCCAATTTTCCCAACACCATTTATTGAAGAGAATGTCTTGACTCCATTGTATGCTCTTGCCTCCTTTGTCAAATATTAATTGAGCATAATGGCTTGGGTTGATTTCTGAGTTCTCTGTTCTGTTTCATTGGTCTATGTGTCTGTTCCTGTGCCAGTAACAGACAGTTTTGAGAACAGTGGCTTTATAATATAGCTTGATATCTGATATTGTGATCCCTCCAACTTTGTGCTTTCTCAGGATTGCTGAATCTATTCAGGCTCTCTTTTTTTTTTTATTCCATATAAATTTTTTGAGAGTTTGTTCTAGGTCTGTAAAACATGCTGTAGTTGTACAGATTGCATTGAATCTATAAATTGCTTAGGATAGTATGGACATTTTAATGATGTTGAAGTCTACCAATCCATGAACATGGTATATTTTTCCATTTGTTTATGTCTTCCTCTATCTCCTTTTTTCAACATCCTGTAGTTTATTCCTAGGTATCTTATTTTTTTGTTGTTGTTGCAATGGTAAATGGGATTGGTTGGGGGTTTTTTTGTTTTGTTTTGTTTTTTAGTTTTTCTTTCTGTGAGTTCATTATCCTATTTAATAAAAGCCTAATATATAAATTGTCCCCTTGGATGGTTGTTCGACCACTCCCTATGTCATGCGCTGACCACTAGGAGGTGATGTGGCACTGGTAGTGGGCAGCAATGGAGGCACTGCCAGCCCTGATGAGCAGGACTGCGGTGGAATGATGGAGCAGGTGAGGGGGTGGCTCCAGGCCAAGGCAGATGAGAATGGGGCCCAATCACCCCGCCAATCACCCCACAGACAGTGAATGCAGTGGTGGGCTGGGCTGCTGCCTGGCTCCCAGGTGCTGAGGGAACTGAGCGGGGGGGAGCCCAGTCACGATAGATGGCATGGCAGGCAGGATGGTGGAACAGGTAAGGGAGTGGCACCAGGCCAAGGTGGGGTGCCAGGCAGGGCTTTGGGGCTGCAAGGCTGGGGGTGCGATCTGGGGCCCAATCTCCGCAGGCCATGCACAAATTTGTGCACCGGGCCCCTAGTTGGTATATAAAAAAGCCATAGATTTCTTGGTGTTAACAACTTTATAGGTATGAAAAAATTAGAATAAATTATATTTCATTGTCACATCCTTAAATTTAGGAATAATTATTGAATCATTCAAATACCTGCACTAATTAGAAGTCAATATTTTAAAATAGTATTCTTAATGTGAGTCTTGTAGAAAACAAGAGTTTAAATAATTTAACTAAACAATATTCAAAAGTTAATAATCACCCCACACACACATCCCAATTGGGGGCGGGGCCAGCTGGCCAACCTCCCACATCCTCTGCCCCCCTGGCCAGTGTGGCCCAGTCGGCCCCCACCAGTGCACAAATTCATATACTGGGCCTCTAGTATGGATAGAAACAAGTGCACATTCATACTTGATAGATCCATGCTTAACAAGTATCTATGTATTAAGTAGAAAAGAAACAAATGAGCTATGTAATTAGTACCTTGTAGCTGAATAAAAGCCATAAAATTACTATTTCTCTTATATATTACTACTACTACTTCTGACATTATAGCAACTTTTTAAAAAAAGTATATTTTATTGATTTTCCACAGAGAGGAAGGGAGATGGATAGAGAGCCAGAAACATCGATGAGAGAGAAACATCAACCAGCTGCCTCCTGCACAACCCCCACCTGGGATGTGCCCGCAACCAATGTACATGCCCTTGACCAAAATCTAACCTGGGACCCTTCAGTCCAAAGACTGAGCCAAACCAGTTTTGGTTATAGTAACTTTTTATGTATGTCGTTCTAGATCATGATAATGATGACTTTATGCTTCCATGATTATAACTTGGACGATAGGAGCCTTTGCCCCCATCTTGGTCTTTTGTCTTTCTAGCACTGACCAGTGGTTTTTAAAAGCACCTTTGCTCACTATAGCAATAGGATATTCTAGACCTGCTCTGAATTTTCCTGTCCCAAGACTTCAAATCAGTTCTTCTTCAAAGAGTTCTGGTTGTTTTTTAAATATATATATATTGGGGATTGAGCCCACATCCCGGCATGTGCCCTGGCTAGGAATCGAACTGTGACATAATGGTTCATAGGTCGGCACTCAACCCCTGAGTCACACGGGCTGAGCTCAGCTTCTTTATAGAGACCTGAACTGCGTTATGTGGGTTCAAATGAGTAGTGGTGTTGGCCAAAGGTATGCTTTTTCAGTTATTTGGGGGTTTTTTTTGAGACAGGGCTGAAAATGAAATTTTTTTCTTAATATATCAAGTTCATGTTTATTTTTCCTATCTTACAAAGTTTTATATTATTGTACCCTCCCTTTCTCTGGAATGGATTTCAGTGATATTCACAATTTTCTCCTATGTTGACATAGCTGACATATTAAATCTAATTGTTTGTTAGTGCCCTGTGTTAAGAAAGGTTATGATGCTGCATCTGGGCTCAGGAGGAAAGAATATTGGAATTATTAATTAATAATCATTAATTGTGGGCAGTGGACAGGGGAATTGGTGAGGGACATACCATGTTTGCTGACTCTGTAGACCAATCATGCTGTCTTGATACTTCTGCTCAACCCTAGACCCACTTTGGATCAGTGATAAACTTTTATTTAATATATTTTTTTAGAAATTCTGGTTAAAAAAAAAAAAAAATATATATATATATATATATAAAATTTACCATCTTAACCTTTTTATTGAAGTAATTCTTTCTTTAATCCTCACTGAGGATGAGGATGTGCTTTTATTGACTTTAAAGAGAGGGGAAGGGGGAGAGAGAGAAACATCAATTGGTTGTCTCTCATATGTGCCCCAATTGGGGGATGGAACCCACAACCTCGGTATGTGCCCCAACTAGGGGATGGAACCCAAAACCTAGGTATGTGCCCTGACTGGGATCAAACCCATGACCTTTTGGTGTACAGAACATCGCTCCAACCAACTGAACCACCCGCCAGGGCACCATCTTACCATTTTTAAATGAACAGTTCATTGGTATAAAGTGTATTCATATTATTGTGCTGCCATTACCATCCATTTTCAGAACTCTTTTCAGGCAAAACTGAAACTCTACTCATTCCCCCTTCCTTCCCAGCCCCTGGCAACCATTCTACTTTCTGTCTCTGGATTTGACTAATTTAAGTACCTCCTGTAAGTAAAATCATACAATATTTGTTCTTTTGTGATTGGCTTACTTTAGTGAGCATAATGTCCTGAAGGTTCATCTATCTTATCAGCCCGATTACTCTGGGATAAGAAAAAGTGATTCCAGCACTGTTTAGAAAATACCGGACTGAGCTGTAAGTCAAGAGCAAAGGTTCCTTGAAAAAAAGGGGGAAAAAAGAGTAATTAAACCCCCAAAGGACATATT